CTGCCGCGGCCAAAGAGGCAGTTACCAGCACGTTTCATCGTGCTTGAAACCGCTCTCCCACGACCTTTAACCACTTTTTTTCGTGGTTTAACTGCTTGTCCACGTCAGCACACGTTCTATTTCTGATACGCCGCCACGTGGACTTCAAAAAATCATCGAATAACTGCCTTATAACTGCCACATCACCCCCCATAATAGCCGCGGTACCATAAGCTGCCGCGCCTAAGGCGCGACACCTTTAACTGCCGCGCCTAAGGCGCGACACCTCTGAACTGCCGCGCCTAAGGCGCGACACTCTGAACTGCCGCGCCTAAGGCATGTCATCCTGGCTCGCTTGTTGGTGTATTTGTCGTTGTGTCCACACTACTCTTTTCTCATCCTTGAGTAGTGTTCGGATATCTATGAGCATTTTTTGACGCCTACAGTTAATATGTGTGTTTGATATATAAAAGATTTTAGGGAGAGGAATACTAATATAAATGTTAACCTATTAGTGTATGTAGTCTAGAAATAAAATATAAAATTTTCATAATATATAGTACAAACTATTGCAATGTACTTATCATAACATTTGAATATGAGGTAATTCTGAGCATACAAAATTCTAAGCAGTGTGGAAAGTTATTGCTGCTCTTGACACTGAATGTGGAAATGTAATTTTCAAAGAAGATGTGGAGGTGGCAATTAGAGATATCCAAAATGGAGCGGAGCAACACTCAATTTTCAAACACATTTGGGATGATATTTAGTGATGTTGCACATGACTTGAGGAAGGAGATTTTCAAGTAGCTCGTCAAACAAGGAATGTAAGGCTCATGTGTTGGTCCAAAAAGCTAAAAAAATTGATGATTTTGTGGTATAGCTCGAATACTCACCATCGTTTTTGTATAATATTTTGTAGTCTTATAATGAGCAACATTTGTCCACATTCTTTTGTTGCGCTTTTGGGTTTGTAGTTTAGTTTGGAAATTAATGTCTTGATATTTTCTATAAGAAACTATTATAATATATTAATTAGATCCCACTAACAAAGTAATTTATGACGTATGCCCTTCGAAATCTACTAATAATGCATTTAATATGAATAGTGGCGAGAAATGAACCCAGAGTTAAAGCATTCATGCATGTATCTTCTCTCATTGACTAATCAAAATCTCTTAATTAATTATGTACTAATTATTTCATGACTAATCTACTTCCATAAACATTCAACGTAGGTCTCAATAAATTGTATAAAATTATACTATATATGAGTACTCAAATACACAAAAGAAAACACTAAAATAATCAAAGGAAGAAAAATGGAGGAAGTGAGAATTTTAATAGTGGAGTTAGTCCCTTGATTATAGTAAGCGGGATATCTCATAGTCAACAAGATATCACAAGTGATAATTGAGAGGGAAGATTATATTGCTTTGTTTGGAGGAACGAATAGATCTACGACCGAGTTCACCTCCCATTTAGAAAAAAAATCATCAATCTAGTAGTTATACAGTTATGCAAATTTGTGGAGAGAAAAACTAATATAAATGTCAATAAATTACCTTTGAATGTTTAGTCTCATATCGTTACTTAATATGCATTACTTACAAAGCACGTGTTACATACTAGTTGATATAAATGTTGTTTGAGAACTCCTAACCTACAACTAAAGTTTTTTTAAAATATCCTTTATATTTTAGGATTTATTACATTTCTAAGTAACGACATTCAATGAGAAAATAACCTCTCTTTTCAATGTAAATTTCCTTCTACAATAACTTTTACCTAATAAAATAATAATTTATTATTTTTTCAAAACTGTTTTATTTCGGTAAGTATAGTTCTATTAAAAAATCATAATAATAATAAGAAACTATAAATATTTCTAATTTTTTCAAGATTATAGTTATAATAGAGAATAGTTTTAATTGTTTACTACAGTTAATTTTTCACAAAGTACTGGTTGGAGTTATGGTTAGGTGACTTGGTTATTAGCTCTTAGGTCATGTGTTCGGATCCTTTGCATTCATTTTTTTATAAAAGCTATTTGGGCCTGTTGTGAACTCAAACCTGACCCAGTTAGAATCTAGTATCAAATTTCAGACCCATTTGGGTGTATAATTCAAATTATAGACCTGTTTCGCCCAGTTAAGATCTAATATCAAATTTCAAACTCGATTGGGTTTATTATTCAAATCACAGGCCCGTTTAGATCTTTTGCTCACTAAAATCAGACTTGTCAATCTTTAAGCCATTAAACCAAACTCGTTGACTTTTTCTGACACTAAATAATTAACATATGTTAATTATTTATCTTTCCCTTTTTGATAAGTAAAGATATGTCATTTGATGATGAATACCTCGTGTCATGTTTGATCACCTAGTGATATTTAATAGGGTCGATTGTGCATGAAGATGATTTTCGTCAAAATATGATTCATAAGCGTGCTATCATAGCATGGCTATACTCTAAACATCGGTATCCCGACGTGAGGAGTTTCGCTTGATTATTACTATTATGTAATAGCATCAATTAGGCGATGCATCCATCTTAATTAGACATGTTCTGGTCACGGTTATTTTTTATAGTTTTACGAAAGTTGTTCCATAGATACTCTATGGTTAGTGAATAATATTTCATGCACAACCACTTAGAATCAATAGATAAATATGGATTTTATAAAGGAGAATTGGATGGAGAATATAACACATATATAAGCAGGCTCATGTGCATTCTTGATATCCTGAATTATATATAAGAGTCAAGGCCAATACTTGACTTGAAGCCATGTTCCCGGGACGGCTTACGGGAACCCAATTTATATACATGATATTGTTCTCCTCTAATTCAAATAGCATGTAAAATAATAGTAATGTGCTTATATGATTTGTGATAGACTTATTCTTAATATCTACAAGTAGCATTTCTTTTAGTCACCTTTAATTTAGATTTTATATTTTCTTTATACCAGCTACATACATTTACACGCGCACAATTTCTTTATTTTACATGCTTGTTGGAGTTTTCTGACTCCCCTGGGGTTTGCTCGCAGCATACTCAGGGATCGTTCTTTCTTCGCAGGATCGAGAGTATTTCGAGGAGCAGGCTCAGCGGTAGTGATCACAGTTTATCCTATCAGATCTCCAGTTTTATTTGTCTTAGGTAGTTATTTGACTTAGACTTTTCATGTAACCACATGTGGTTCTCCAGACTATGATGTATTTTTCATCTTTCCCATTTTGGATAATTGTGGACTTGTAGTAGATTTCAGATATTTCTTTATCTATCTTTCTTTGTTATCTTGGTTATATGCTCTATGTTGTAGTTCTTTTTGGCAATATATCTATATACAGGATGGTCTAGAGGCGTGATTATGACCGTATGGTTGCATTGCTGGACGAGTCACGTTCCAAACTATTACGCTTTAGAACCGTGGCATGACAATCAAGATCCAATCAGAGGAAATGAGAAAGAAAGAGACAAGATCTGAGTCTGATATGTTAAGACTTGATAGGGCTGCCGAGAGGAAATGCAGAGTTAGAATTCGCGAAAGTACCCCCCTCGATCGCCCTAAGATCCAGAAAGAGTAGAGTAGCTGTCTAGAATTGAAAAGCTGACTCTGATGCTATGTATAAAATTAAGACATAATAGGAAGCATGTGATAATTGTATTCATTGGTTCAAGGGCTACATATAGTTTTGGATATAACAAAATAAATTTAGTTAGCTACACTGAATATTCGAAGTATTTGAATCCGCCAACAAAATTTAGGCATATATATCTATTTATTCTATATTTTTCTGCACGTGACAATGTATCTTTTTATATCTTTGACTCACACAAGTATCGGTTTTTTCAGAAAGTCCACTTTAAGTTTATGACCGTGGAATTTAAGTTCTGATAACATTTTAAAATCCTTAACCATTACATCGAAACTTTAACGTTAGTGTGAGGACGATTGAGGTCGCTGCCGGTATCAAATTCTTGATACTTAAAGTTCAATATCTAATATGCTTCTTTTTCTATGGTACTTGATGCTTAAACTACTGACTACCATCAGGACAGGAATTTTATCCCCGCTACCTTTTCTTCCCTCTTTTTGCTGCGGCTCCCGTAAACATGTGTTCGATCTGAAGAAAACGAGGAGGAAAAAGCAGAGGTAGAATGACTTCGGTCTAAATTAAACGAGGAGCAAAAAGCGTGCGGAGGGGATTTGTTTTTTCATTGGCCGTATGTTTTAAACAGAAAATAAATAAGCGTGTAATAGTTGATATTTAAGTTGAAGACAATGAAATCTAGGGTATCAAAGTGTAAAAGTAAAACGTTTGCTTATTAAAGTAATTTATTGGATCAAGGTTAAAAAATAGTCGTAAATTTTCGGGCTCAAAAGCGCAACTAACCCTATTATTAACTACTTTCATACAACATAACCTCACATCGTTTCTCTCTCTCACGTTGCCATGAAACCGGCGGATGAATACGTGTCACGGCCCAATTACTATTATGGGCCAACCGTTCTCGTACGACTTACTCGATCAATCCAGCCCAAAACACTCTCTCTCCTGCCCCCCCCCTCTCGTACGGCCCAATTACTATTATGGGCCGACGCGTTGCCATGAACCCTCGATCATATGCGCAGGGTTTATCGTCCGTCCTAAAAGTGCAAAATGTGGAGAAGAGGGGATTTCGTCTGGAAAAGGGCAGGATCACGCCGTTTCCAGAGCGCCGTCAGACGTAACGTCGTCGAGGATGAGGGTGACTGGAAGTACGCTTCTGAATGGTGGGGAGCCGAGGGATCTGACGGCGGCCACACGGTTTTCCGGTCCACGTCGGATCACGGTAACGGCGTCGTCTCCGTCGTCTCTTACCCTTGTTCGAAGCCGGTAAATTTTCCATTTCCCCCCCTGGGTGCTAGCTTGTTTTTGCATACAATCAATCCAAAATTAATGGAAATATCGACAGGTTTAGTCGAACTCTGAATTTGATTAACAATGTTTTTGTTAATTAAAAAAATGAAATGATTTTGTGATTTTTTTTAACGCAGTGAGTGCTGAAAATGTTTTTTTCTTTTGGGTGTGAAATTAATTAATTTTTTTAATCACCGGAAATGCTCTTTCACTGGTATGAAATATGTAAACGGGGTTAGCTAAAAATTTCATTTGATTCAGTAAACAGGTTATACATTCTATTATTATTGCTAAATTGGTCTTATGGTTCGACGAGTAGTGAATCAACAGTTGAATTTTTCAATGAATAAATACGAAATTTAAGATTATGATGCTCCGGAATGGAAATGTAGGAAGTAGGAACCTCCCCCCATGTGGTCGAGGTAAATCAAGGTATTTCATGCAGCTTGTGGTGTATAATGATGGATAATGTATTCCACTTTGGAATTTGGATCTTGATAACAGGTTGAAGATGAAGAAAGGTTGTAGCCACGGGCAATGTTATTTATATAAGGAAGAATAGGCAATGTTATTAATATAACATGAAAGAATTCTTTTTAAGCCACACATTTTAATTGAAGTCGGGTAATCCTGCTTTACATTAACAGACTCCACGTGTCACGATACTATTTTGTGTGCAAATTAGCAAGCTTGACGGCAGGACCTCTTATCTGTTTGATTTTACGCGTCTTGGTTCATACGTAAATTCATATGTAAATGCTTTCTCGAGTGATTATATTTGTGGGTGATCATTGGATTTTCATTCTTTCAGTAAACATTTTTCCGCAATTATTTCTTTTTGGGTCAACTTGCTACAGTGTATTCCGGTGCTACTATTAGTTATTGTAATCTTGTTACATATGTTGTACCGCAGGCTCCAGAACAATTGCCAGCTGTAGAGAAGTGGCTTCAACAAAGGTACACAAAGCTCCACCCAGAATTCGAACACAATGAGCAGTTTAAGGTACTTGGTTATCAATGGCGCGTTCTTCACTTTAATGACAACACTCGTCAAAGCGCTACCAAAGTAATGGCTGCATACAGAAAATCAGACCCTGCATCATTATATTTAATGCAACAGCCAAATTGTTTGCCCGTCCCATGTAAATCCCTTTTCTGAGATCTGGTTTGTTCTTGGCTTTCTCCAAAACTTGGCAATCTGATGTTGCATAATAATGGTCCTATATTTGTCATTGATGTATGTGTCCTTTGATATTTCACATTATAGAGAAAAGTTAATGCTGCTATGCTCCTGTGGCACAGACATGTTGCGAATCCAATTAGTAGGGTTTTCTAATTTGCATCCGCAAATTGAAACATTTCCGCAATGAAAATCTGACTAGGAGTGTGAAACCAATCTGACTTGCGTTTTTGGCCTTTTAAAGCTCTATTATGTCAATGATCTTTCATATTGTATAAAAAGTTTATGGCCCTTGGATAAATGGCAGTAGACAAGCCCTCAGAACCCACAAATTGGGATTTGTTTCTCTGTTCAGGCCAATACTGAAATTACATGTTTGAATCTTAAAGTAGGAGCGTAGAGCAATGCTCTTCTGTTGCCCTTAGTTCTAGGGCAATAATAACGATATTGGCATTGCTGTCTTGAAAACTTTAAGGATGATTGAAGCCAAGTAATTGTGTAGAATATGATAGAATTTAATCGAAGACTGTTTTCTACTATTGAGGCACAATAAACAAGTGCTGGAACCAAACCAAAAGTCCTCTACACTTTTGGTATTTACGTCCAAATATAGACCTGATTGTGGTTCAAATCTGAGAGGTTAATACTTTTAACTTTTGTGTCTGGGAGTATAATATGGCATGCTAGTATGAAGAATTGGTTGTGTTCTTCAGAACATCCTAGTTGGTTGAATGAGTTTCAATTTACTTTCTCTTGGGTGCATGCTAAAGAAGGTTGTTCCTAATTGCTACATTTTTGTTTCACTTCGTATCAGAACATAATTTGATTATGGGCGGCTGGTTATATATTGATGTTTAAGTATACAATAGTTTGGTCATATGTTTTCCAGAGTTGACGCGGTTACTTGAAAATCATAAATATGTCTCTTTTATCTGTTAATAAATAACTCTCCTGGTTCCTTTTTGTTTTGTTTTGTTCTTTTGGGTAATTCGTTCTTATGCAATGTTTAAATCTGCTGCTGTTTTATAGATTTAAAAAGTATGGTATCAGCTGGATTGACTTCGTTAGCTTCTTCGGGTTATGATATTTTTGAAGCAGTTGCTGGAAAGAGAACTCTAAATGTTCTATGCATTGGTCATGGAGGTGGTAATCTACCTTTATTCTTGGCCAGTAAAATTAAAGGTAAATATTCTTCCTCTCTTTGTTTTCTTTATCCATTTTCACTCTGTTTGACTATTTGTATGTTCCTGGTTATTGACGATTGGCATCTTGTGTTTAGGATTCTCAATTTTAATATTTAGTATTTTTTTATAACAATTTCCTGGATACTCTCCCCAACCTTTCTTCTCTGTGCTCTTTCCTTCACGCGATCAAACCTCAAAAAACACTCTGCATGTGTCTAACTTCAACTGGCGGTTTTCTTCAATCAAATATCAGTTGGAAATTGTCTTCTTCTTCTTCTTCTCCTTCTTCTTTTTCCTCAAAATTTTTTTGACCATAATGTACTCGACTGGCATCATATGTCAATTATGTTCAAGTCGTGTTATGAGCTAGATTTCAAATTTTAGAACCATTCTTAATCATAAATTTTGGAGTGATCTGAAATATCCCCGTAACCCTGGAAGGAGTATAAAGACAAATGATGTAGTTGACAGTGCTGGTGGATAACAATTTGTGTTCAAAATCTGATGGAGATACTGAAAAAAACACAAAACAAAACTAATCCTTCCCTGTTGTAAACAATGACATAAATACAAGAAATGTGCACTGCATAATCACAGCTTGTTCCTCTTCAGGTGCCAATGTCCACAGTGTCGAGATTGATCCTGTTGTAATTGCCGCCTCCACTCAAGTAATGGGCTTTCCTTCATCTACTGTAATGGAAAAAACTTTAGTTCAAATATCCTCCCCACAACCTACTGATTCCGAACAATTACTTTGGCAAGATGTCCATCAGCGAATTTCTTTGTACAGAGCAGACGCTGAGGATTTCATTCTTAACTCTTCAAACACCTATGATTTAATGTTTGTGGATGCTTACGATGGCGATGACATTTTTCCACACAAACTGTGGGATCCAAAGGGTTTGTTTCTTAAATCTCTCAAAGAGAGGCTTCATCCTGTCCATGGAACTGTTGCTGTCAATCTTCATTCAGATTCAGATGTTTTGGCTTCTGGGATGGCCGTTAATTGTTCTTCTGAGTTCATTTTGCCCATGGGAAAATATATATCACAGGTTTGCAGATCTTATAAGGATAATATTGGGTTGGCTTACAAGGTTTCGGTTCCTTGGCTTTGCAATATCACTTTGGTTGCGAGTACCGGTGTGGGGTTGAGAAATGGCAGTGGAGGGGTTACTGTTAGTAGGGATTTGATACTGAGTTCTCTTGTATCCAAATCCAATTTGGTGGAGCTTTTGCTTGACTTGCCATTTCCTTGTTTGGAATACATCAAGAGAGGATTTGTGCTGGTTGATTGATAAATTAGGATACCGTTTTTCTTTTTTCATTGTTGTATGTTAGATATTTCTCCTATGTCATATAGGTGATAGAGAGTTTAGCAATGGGATGCCCAGTAGGTCACATGGTAAAGCCGTTTCGCTCCCTCATGCGGGGTCTGGGTTTGATTGTTGTATGTTAGATATTTCTCCTATGTCATATAGGTAATAGGGAGTTTAGCAATGGGATGCCCAGTAGGTCACATGGTAAAGCCGTTTCGCTTCCTCATGGGCGGTCTGGGTTCGATTCCCGTCTGCGCCAAAGGCACCATCCAAAAAAATAGAGAGATTAGCGATAGTTGTGTAATGAAATCATGAACGATTCCAGTTTTCTGTGGCCATGGAAACATTCTTTGATATTTCTCTTCAAGAATAAACATGACGTGAACTATATGTAATAGCTATGGAATTTTGGATAGTTTGTTCTTTTAACTGGCATTTGCTGCCATTCAGAATTTTGCATAAAGATCCCCATCAATTTCTTTTTCACGTTTTGTAATTTTGCAGTTCTGTTATGTAATTGTTGGCAGTTGGACACTCTTTTAATATGTTCACAGTCGGTTTTTGTAAGTATGGATGAACAGATCAATGTTTACATCTATGATAAAATAAGACTTATTTATGTATTTTACAATAGTGCTGGGGAGATTAGTAGAATTTTGAAAATTTAGTGGATTCATCTGAGCAAGATTGTCATATTTATCCATTTTTTATATTACACTTTATTCATTGAATTGTTATTATTGGTTGAGGATTGTTGATTCTAGGCTCGGATCTTTTCTTGGATTTAATGTAGGATGTTATTCATTTTGGACTAGAATTTGAATTTAAATTTAAGGTGTTATTGGTTTAAGACTTGAATTCGGATTTGAATTTTAGGTGGTATTATTGGTTTGGGATTAGGATTTGGATTGAATTTAATGTGTTTTTGGTGCAGGACTGGAATTTAGATTTGAATTTAAGGTTTTATTGGTTGTGTAAGATTGTTATTGATATTAGGATTTCAAAATCCATACTTCATTCCGACTCTATAGTTTTTAATGAGAAGAAAGTCCAAGTTAAATTTGGTGGATTACGATCTTACTCTGTGAATTTTCTCTCTCCTCTTCTCTTTGCTTATTTAAATATTTAACATATTTCAAATTAAATATATTTAAATATTCCATATTCCTAAATTATTTATATATTAACATTGAATGTATTTAATTTTAAATATTTGTAATCAACTTATTATTTATTTTAATTCATTTAAAATAAACTATATTTGATACTATTTAATCACTTAATATATTTGATATTTATATTAAATTGGATATGTTTAGTATTTAGCATTTCTTAAATGTAGAAATGTTTTAAATATTTAATATTATATTACATTCATTGTTTTTTATTTAGATGTTAGAAATAAAATATATTAAGTATTTAATACTGTTTAATCACTTAATATATTTAATATTTATATTAAATTAGATAGGTTTAGTATTTAAAATTTCTTAAATATAGAAATGTTTTAAATATTTAATAATATATTACATTCATTATGTTTTTATTTGAATGTTAGAACTAAAATTAAATGCATAAAAATTAAAGATATGTAATATTTAAAATTTTAATATATTAAATAAGAAAACTATTTAATCTATTCGAATATTTGATGTCAAATGTTTGATATAAAAATTTCCAATATATTTAGTATTTGAGTATTTAAATTACAAATTAGTTTTTATATGGTTGGTCAATAGTTATTTTCTTTTATGTACATAAACACTAGTTTTTTTTATTTATGTGCTTACATTAGTTATCTTCATTTTACGCTAGTTAACTCTTAACTGTATGTAATTTAATCATTCTTGCTCCATCTTGACTTTCGGGAATACAGGCGAAATATAACGTTCAGAAGAGTAATGTTGTAAGAATGATTAAATTACTTATAGTTAACTTGATTAAGCTTATAAATTATTAATCTTAATGGTACTATAAGATTATTACACAACATTATTGTTCAAACAATTATTTTCATCGTTAATATTCTAATCATGTACTAATAATATTCTAACAATATTAATATTATTTTCTTAAGTTTATTATCCATAATTAGTATATTTTATCAGGAACCCCCTAAATTTAGTGGGGTTCTGATGAAATCTTAAACTTAAAGGCGGTAGTAAGATAACCCCTGACTCTAAGGGAGGTTTTTTGATATTTTGGAAGTCATAGGATGTAATTTGTTAAGGGCCTGTTTGGTTCGTTTCCTTCATTTTTCAAAACTCATTTTCCTTCACTTTTTTGTGTTTCCTTCACTTTCATGGAAAATATTTCTTGTGTTTGTTTCACCAAAAAATATGGGCTGGAAGTACTTTCCACCACTTTTCTTAGTTTGGTTCAACTTGAAAAAAGAAGAAAACAATTGATGTGGATTCCCTCATTTTTTAATGTTTGGTTCAAATGAAATAATAATAATAATAATAATAATAATAATAATAACAATAACAACAACAACAACAAGAACAATAATAATAATAATAGGGAAAAATGCTTCCAGCCCCTAAAAGCTAAAGAAACATGCTTCCCACCCCCAAGACTTTGTCAACGGGTGTTTTACCCCCAAAAATAAAGATTATATGTTCTCTGAGCCCCCAAAACACAACACCCAAGACATTAAAATATGTGAAGACCATAATACCCTTCTCTCTCTCTTTCTTTTTTTATTAAAATATGTTGAGCATTATTTTATTATTTTCGTTTTCTCTTTTTTTCTTTATCATGAAGTATTGAGATGATAGTTGAAATGATTGATGGGGATTATTTTATTATTTTCGTTTTTTATTATTTTGGTTGTTTGTATTGGGAGATTGTTAAAGTTATGGGTTAATTGTTAAGGTTACGAGTTAATTGTTAATGTTACGGGTCAATTGTTAAGGTTATGAATCATCTCTCTCTTTCCTTCTTTTTTTATTAAAATATGATGAGGATTATTTTATTATTTTCGTTTTCTCTCTCTCTTTATCATGAAGTATTGAGATGATAGTTGAAATGATTGATGATGATTATTTTATTATTTTCATTTTTTATTATTTTGATTGTTTGTATTGGGAGATTGTTAAAGTTACGGGTTAATTGTTAAGGTTATGAATTAATTGTTAATGTTATGGGTCAATTGTTAAGGTTATGAATCATTTCTCTCTCTCTCTCTCTCTCTCTCTCTCTTTCTCTCTCTCTCTATCATGATGTTTCTTTGATGATATTAAAATGATTAAAGATGATTATTATTTTATTATTTTTGTTTTTTATTCTTTTTGTATTTTTAGAATATTCGTTGTTAAGGATAATGGTTGGTTGTAAAGGTTATGCATTGATTGTTAAGGTTACGGGTTGGTTGTTAAGGTTACGGGTTTATTGTTAAGGTTATGGGTTTGTTGTGTAGGTTACGGATTTGTTGTTAAGGTTACGGGCTTAATTGTTAAGGTTACGGGTTTAATTATTAAGGTTACGGGTTTAATTGTTAAGGTTACGGTTTATTAATTGTTAATGTTATGGTTTAATTGTTAATGTTACGGGTTTAATTAAGGTTATGAGTTTAATTGTTACGGTTACGGGTTTAATTGTTAAGGTTACGGGTTTAATTGTTAAGGTTACGGGTCAATTGTTAAGGTTATGGATCCCTTCTCTCTCTCCCTCGTAACCTTAACAATTAAACCCGTAACCTTAACAATTAAACCGTAACATTAACAATTAAACTCCGAACAACAACATGACTAATATTATATTAGCAACTATTAGAGACGCTGATAAGCAGTGTAATGATTTCAGAAATAAAAGGTTGGACGTAGTTGGCGAGTTGCTTGGTAGAGAGCTGTGGGCAAATATTCATCTAAATACACTATGGATGTTGATTCCCGTCAAGTTCCTACAACGAAAGCTACAATCAAATAGCTTTCGCGCCGACAATCGAAAGCTGCAAATCGAGGACTTTTCACATGGATCGAGAAGAGTTACAATTCAACGACACTTCCGACAACTGATGAAAACTCTATTCAGCAGTCTTCATAATCTACAGTGAAGGTTACAATCTGACGACTTTCACACTCCACTACAGCTAAAGCTAGGATTACTGAACAAACGGTCCTTGCAACGCTTTACAGAAGAAGTTACAAGTCAACTAGCTCCTTCTAAAACGCGGATGTCATCCCCGCGTTACAATTCTGGAAGTGCAGGCGACCCCCGCGTTTCCAAGCACAAGCTAAACGTGAGCGACCCTCGCGTTCGTAGGGGTTCAACCAACACCGACCCCCGCGTTTCCAAATTATAATAAACCAAACGCGAGTGACCCTCGCGTTCATTGGTGTTCAGCTAATACCCAACCTCGCGTCTCAATTCTGAGAGGCGACGTTGAGTTCTGAACGCCAGATTGGGCGTTTGACTCGTTCAAACACGAGCTGAACGGTTTCAGGACTGTTTCCCCACGATCTGAGGAAATCACGTCCACTTAGGAGCGAATTTAGAGGGTAGTTACAACCCCTTATCCACCTATAAAATCTCAACAAACTCAACTGAGTTAAGGGCTGGCTTTTTGGAACAAAAGAGAGGCAGCAGATTGGGTTTGGAGGATCTCAACCACTCAGGTTCGGTGATTCAACAGCAGCAGCAGCAGTAAAATCCTTGGAGATAGGATTTATGAATCAAATTTAGAAGATCAAATCTGAGGGGATTCTTCAACAACAGAATATCAGCTTGGTCATTAACCGAATTTTCGGTTCTAACAACTCTCCTAACAGAGTTCTAACTCGTTCAGAGTTCTTAAACTCATTCAGAGTTACCCATTAAACTTTCCACAGAAGTTCATCGTTCCCATGAGATAGAAGACGGTCGGATCGTCAACGGAGAGCAAATTCGACATGAACAATTGAAGGAGGCACTCCATCGCTACCTTGAAGAACCTAGTTTTAAACAAAGGAGAGAACCAAATTCGTTCTCTTCTCTTTTGTAATCGAATTGTAATCGGAATCAAAGGAATACAAGTCAATTTTCTTTGTTCTTTTCTTTGCAATTTTCTCTACAAACAAAAGGATGCCGACTCCGCTGGGGACTAGCTTTTCCGACGAAGAAGTGGTGGCACAGTCCGACGTCCACCTCATGGGAACCACTGTAGAAACTCTCGTCGTAGAGTTTGATCAAGCTAAATATGAGGAAGCCTTATCCTCTGGATCGCTCAGCCCAAGGCTAAGCATGGTGCCCGCAAGGTCTCCAAGGAGATCAATTCTGTCGTTGAAGTGCCGAAGAAAGCCCTCTCCTTCGGCCAGGAACTCAAACTAGCTCTGCTGGCGGAAGATCCCACATCCGCGTCAGCAAGACATGCTTCGGGCCACAAACGGCTTCTGGAGGAGACGAGTCCTGTAAACGTCAACGACGCTGCTGCTAAGGCTTTGAAACAAGCCAAGAAGAACGCCGCTCGCAGACGGAGAAGATCCATACGGCGAGCGCATCTACGTGAAAGCCGAATGTTGGCCCAACGCGAAGACCGCGTTTCTGAAAATCCAACCGATCCTAGCGTTCCCAAAGAAGAACGCTCACTTCGTGGCAATGAGCCCAACTACGAGCCTCGGCTGATACAGCTGAAACGCGACCC